AACCTCTTTCTCCACCTGCTGTTGATGTTTGCTACCTCTGGTTTGATGGTTTTTGTTGTTGGTGGTGGTTGGGTTGTTTTTTTTTCTTTCTTTCTCTCTCACATTTAACTCAGGAACCTGGGTTTTCTCGTCTGTTTCACAAATTTTACCACGGGGCAGGGGGGGAAAAGCAACAGTTAAAAAAAAAAAAGAAAACCTTGTACCTCCAATCTCAATACCCCAGAAAAAGCATAGTTAAGACAAAACAATGCCTAAATATAACGAACAACGTAGGGCAATTCAAAAGAAAGATCAAATCCTTCTTCTCTTTACTTGGTTACTGTTCATACTCCAAGTTCTTATCCTGAACCTAGTATTCTAAGCAGTTAGTGTGACTGCTGCACTATCAGTGTACCACAATTAAAGTGTAAAATAGACCACAAGAACTGACCTTTTGCCTGTGAAGTTCTGCCTCATACTTTGTATTTAGCTGAAGCACATTTTAAGAAGTACCCAACCCAACCTCCAGAACAGCAAGAGATGGAGAATTTAATCAGTTACTATGGCAACGCATTCAAAATGCACATCGGTTGTCTAATTTGAACTTGTCTGTCATTACACTTCTGGCCTTTGTTCTGCTTTTATTAAATCAATTATCTAAAAATACCTTTAATTAAGACTATTACTAGCCAGTACTTGGTGACCCTTAAGAATCTTACAACCTCTAATGAAAATTCTCCCTCTTTTTCGTAAGAAAAACAGTCTTAACTGCTCACTTTCAAATGTAAGCCTTTTTCCAACACAGCCCTGCATTTTATCAACAGTACAGTAAAAATGCAGACAATCAAGCATTCCACAGGATTTTAAGCCTTAATCCTGTGCCAATACATATTAATATTTACAGTTTCACTGCACTTAAGTACAAGCTGCCTTCTACTCTATAATCCTCTGCAGATGTCCAGCTCTCCAGTCTACTATTCCAATAGAGATGACATGCATACAAACAGTGATTAGCAAATAAGGACTAGGAAGAACTTTACTCCTGTACATGGCACCACTACAATCCGGTTTGAAATACTGTATATTGTTCCACATAGGGCACTTAATTTTATTTCTTTTTGCTAAATCATGATTATCTATATAAGTGGAATCACTTATTTATTTTCATTGCTTTTCCTGTAACACCCATAAAGCCATTTGCTTGTCTTTTATTAAGTAAAAGCTACACAACTAGCTGAACCCTTTAAGCACAGACTATGGAATCATTAACATCCTCCAATGAATAGTGTTTTCAGAGAAACTGTACAGATTGGTCCTCTCAAAACCTGCTAAGCAGAAAAAAACACTTTTTCTTGTGTCAGCAAATATACAGGATTTTTTTCCGTTTTGTTTTTGAGATTCTTTCCTTTCTTCCTACATAGTAAATTGCCCAGCTGTACTTGACACTTTCAGAACAAGGAAAATTATCTCAGATGGGAGACACTGCAACACAGTACATCACCTCTTACCAGCCTATCTTAGCTTTCTTCTGATGATTAATCACAAGTCAGTATTAAATGATCCACTCAGCATGACAAGCAACTAAAGTTACTTCATGTTCAAACCAGCAAATCCTCATCCCCAACGCAAGGCTCTTCGACAGATTCCAGTTCAAAAGGGCAGTGCAAAGCCCTTTTACAGAAGGACAGGGTGGCTGAGGTTGGAAGATACCTCTGGAGATCATCTAGTTCAACCTCTCCTGCTTAAAAATCAGGATTAACTAGAACAGGTTGCTGAAGATGTTGTCTGAGCATGTTTTGAGTATCTCCAAGGGTGGAGATTCCACAGTTTCTCCGTTTCAGTGCTCGATCAGTAAAACTACAGCAATTCTTTTTTCCTCTTCTGTTTAAACATAGTTTTCTCTATTTCACTTGATGTCTATTGCCTCTTGTCCTTTCACTGGGCACCAATGGAAGAAGCCTGCCTCTGCCTTCCTTACATCATCCCATCAGGTATTCATACACAACAATAACACCCTCCTTGAGCTTTCTCTTCTCCAGGCTTTTATGAGAGGTGGCAAAAAAAGGAAGAGTCTTACCTTCAGCGAACTGTAAAATTCATCCAACACTAAACTCATAGAACGAGTCAGATTACTGACATAGGATGTTTCTTGATTCAGGGCATCCTGAAAAGTCTCAAAGTCCTGCATCCATTCTACTGCAAAACTGTGGTCAATTATGTCAGTCTGGAAGAAGAAGAGAACATTTTCAGAAGTAATAATGGTGCATTCTTAGCATTAGGTAGTTAAGTGGACAAATAAAAAAATTCCATTTTAAACTTACTTTCAAAATGCTGATCTTGTAAAAAATATTCAGCCCTGGTCTGAAGTTTTCCAAGCTCTGTTTTTATCAAATCAACTACTTGAATACAGGAAGAAAAGACAACCAACCACTATCCCAGTTTTAAAAAGGCATATTTAAGGAAACAATTGCAAGTCTAGAAGCTTCTATGGTTTACTGGAAAGGGGCATCCAAAAATTGCATACTGTGCAAGAAAGTTGCAAATATTAAATTGTATGATTGAGGCCAGACAAGAACAGTCTTCACTGAAGAAACCATCCTTTCACGATTGGCTTGGGGGTTGGGGGGGGCGGGGAACGGAGCCATTTCCATGTTGGGTAACAACAGCCTACAGGATCCTTAGAATCCAGCTGTGCTCCAACCAGAAGAATCACAGAATCATGGAATGCTTTGCGTTGGAAGGGACCTTAAAGATCACCTAATTCCAACCCCTCTGCCACGGGCAGGGACACCTTCCACTACACCAGGTTGCTCAAAGCCTAATCCAAACTGGTCTTGAACACTTCCACGGCACCCACAGCTTCTCTAGGCAACCTGTGCCAGTGCCTCACCACCCTCAGAGTGAAGAATTTCTTCCTTGTATCCAATCTAAATCTCCCCTCTTTCAGTTTCAAGCCATTGCCCCTTGTCCTATCACTACATGTCCGTGTAAGAGTCCCTCTCCAGCTTTCTAGCAGGCCTCCTTGTAGGTCCCTTTTAGGTACTGGAAGGCTGCTACAAGATCTGTCCGGAGCCTTCTCTTCTCCAGGCTGAACAACCCTAACTCTCTGAGCCCATCTTCATAGGAGAGGTGCTCCAGCCCTCAGATCATTTTTGTGGCCTCCTCTGGACACGCTCCAACAGGTACATGTCCTTCTTATGTTGAAAAGCCATTCCTCACTGGTCTACACTCAGACATTGAGCTGTTGACCAAAACTTTTTGAGCATAACTATCCAGCCAATTCTTATCCATGGAGTGGCCCATCCGTCAACTCCATGTCTCTCCAATTTAGAGACAGGGATGTCATGTCAGCCAGCGTCAAATGCTTTGCATAAGTCCAGGCAGACGACCAAAGAATCATAGAATTGTTTGGTTTAGAAGGGACCTTAAAGATCATCTAGTTCCAACCCCCCTGCCATGGGCAGGGACACCTTCTACTAGATCAGGTTGCTCAAAACCTCATCCAACCTGGCCTTGCACGCCTCCAGGGATGGGGCAGCCACAACTTCTCTGGGCAATCTGGTCCAGTGCCTCACCACCCTCATTGTATAAAATTTCTTCCTTGTATCTAATCTAAATCTGCCCTCTTTCAGTTTAAAGCCATTGTCCCTTGTCCTGTCACTACATGCCCTTGCAAAAAGTCCCTCTCCAGCTTTCTTGTACGCCCTCTTTAAGTATTGGAAGGCTGCTATAAGATCGCCCTGGAGCCTTCTCCTCTCCAGGCTGAACAACCCCAGTTCACTCAGCCATAATGTCAGTTGCTCTTCCCTTATCCACCAATGCTGTAACCCTGTTGTAGAAGGCCACCAATTTGTCAGGCACTATTTGCCCTTAGTGAAGTCATGTTGGCTGTCACCAGTCACCACCTCATTTTCCATGTGCCTCCTCATAGTTGCCAGGAGCTTCTGCTCCATGATATTGCCGGGCACAGAGGTGAGACTGACTGGCCTGTAGTTCCCTGGGTCTTCCTGATTTCCCCTTTTTAAAAATGAGGGTTATGTTTCCCCTTTTCCAGTTGGTGGGAACTTCACCAGACTGCCACAACTTCTCAAAATGATGAATAGTGGTTTAGCAACTTCATCTGCCAGTTCCCTCAGGACCCACGGATGCACCTCATCAGGTCCCATGGACTTGTCCACCTTCAGGTTCCTTAGATGGTCTTGAACCTGATCTTCTCCTGCAGTCGGTGGTTCTTCATTCTCCCACTCCCTGCCTTTGCCTTCTGTGACTTGGACAGTGAGCTGGAGCTCTTGCCAGTGAAGACTGAGGCAAAGAAGTCATTGAGAACCTCAGCCTTCTCCATATCCTGGGTGGCCAGGTCAACAGGTTTCCCATTTCCTTCTGGAAAGGGCCTATGTTTTCCCTAGTCCTCCTTTTATCACCGATGTACCTATAGCAGCTTTTCTTGTTGCCCTTGATGTCCCTGGCCAGGTTTAACTCTATCGGGGCTTTAGCTTTCCTAAACTGATCCCTGGTTGCTCGGATAATTTCTCTGTATTCTTCCCAAGCTACCTGTCCTTGCTTCCACCCTCTGCAGGCTTCCTTTTTGTGTTTTAGTTGATCCAGGAGCTCCCTGTTCATCCATGCAGTCCTCCTGGTGTTTTTGCCTGACTTCCTCTTTGTTGGGATGTACCACTCCTGAGCTTGGAGGAGGTGATCCTTGAATATTAGCCAGCTTTCTTGTGCCCCTCTTCCCTCCAGGACTTTATCCCATCATACTCTACCAAGCAGATCCCTGAGGAGGCCAAAGTCTGCTCTCCTGAGATCCAGGGCAGTGAGCCTGCTGTGCACCCTCCTCACTGCCCTAAGGATCTTGAACTCCATCAGTTATAAACTAAACTCAGTCCAAGACTATGGACACAAACAGGTGAGATGGTTCCATAATTTTACATGGACTGGTATCCAAAAATTTGATTAAAGAGTTTTATAAACATATCTTACCACATGTATATCCACTATTATCACAATATAGAGGTGTCTAAAACTCTGCTATATTTCATTTCCCAGCACGAATAGGAAGGAGGAAGAAACAATTATCTAGCATTTCTCAAGAAATTCCAGACAGAACTGAATCCATCAAGGGCCAAAGCCTGACTCTTTAGAGTTAGTTTAAATTCTATAAATAAAATTAAATTAACTCTACAAATTACTATTTTTTCCCCCTACAAATCTTAACATTCCTTAAATCTACGTGTTTGTCACTGCACATATATCAGTTCCTTGGTGTTTTCCATTACCATTATCAAGAGCCGATTTTAAAATGCTTGTCAAAAATTCTTCGAATGCTGTTGGCTTTAGTTGTTACCAAAGGCTAAACATCAGATCAAAATGAAGTGTAAAGTTATGAATCCTAAGCCTTGGGCCTTCCTTTCCTTACACACACTGATGAAGTCCCATTTCTATCAGTCTTTCAAAAAATGTATTTTCCTAAGAGAGAATGGTTTTCCTACCTCATGGCTTTTTCTACAGAAACGCTTAACAGCTTGTTCTAAAATTACTGTCTAGAGTTAGAAAGAAACAGTGTACAAAAACTTGCTAAGTGAGCAAGCAGATACCAAAAACATGCACGGTTTGGGTCACTGGGAAGATGTGTGTAGTCGGAATAGATCAGACACCAATCCTGCTCGGCTGGCGTGCGGTAAAATTTCACAGTCAAAGCATGAGTGTTCTAGAGGAGGCGTACCGGATACACGTGCATGCACACACAGGGCTTGCTATGCTGGGGAGCAATTCCTTGAATGCAAAACATGTCTGTGGGAAAAAGGAAGAGTACTCCCACCAAAAATCTCATGGGATTCTTTTAGTATGTGAAATTGTCACTTTAAAGAGTTGGCTAGCTGTTAAGTTCAAAAGCATCCTTTGAGGCTACAAGCACCTTACACAACAGTGCAGGTACAGGCTAGTAAGTATCTACTTTCTGGCAAACACTGGCATGTTTTTAGTGTCACTGGTCAGGACTGAACACCTTTTGTTAATTTTTGCCTGCTACAATACATGAGAGTCCTCCCTCAAAACAGGCAGGTGTTACACAACTCCCACTCTAAGTCATCAGCCTGCTGCCAAGCAGAAATAATTAAGATAATTGTTCTGAGGAAGCAGGGGACTGTAAGAGCGGATTCAGTAATGAACTTACCCTTCTGCTACAAAGTTAAGTTTCCTTACAGCATAAGGTGCAAAACGTTTTTCAAATTATCAGTGTCATCTCTCACTTGAATGTTTGGAGGTAACTGTCCATCCCTGATTCTTCCTGTGCATTTGTGTACCAGATTAAAGACCCTTTTTAGATTCAGCTTTCAGCCTGCACCTCCCTCCCAGCCCTTCTTTTCTAGAAAATCTATTATTGCAGTCAGACAAAGGCACTACAGCAAAGCAAGCTGAACAGAGCAATGTTCCACTAGGACACAGAAATGATAGCTTTAACTTACTTTGTTCATGACAACAATGAAAGGTAGCTTTGTCTTGTACAGGATACTGGTGTGTGTGGGAACAAGAACAAACAAACAAAACCATTAAAAATTATTTAAATCTCACTAGAATGGAAAACAGGTTAAGCATAAGGCAGACAAGACTTGCACAAAACTAAATACATCTGACTTCAAAAGATAATTCTTTTCCTCCACATCAATTAGAATGTAATTTTCACCCTGCTTACCATGGCTGAACCAAATATGCTGCCCCAACACGTAAGCGCATGTCTATGAGACAGAAAACCTCCTTCTACACACCCAGATGATTTTGATTATTATTTTCTCTGACTCTTAGATCCCAATATTTAAGTCTCTTTGCATTTTCTAACTATTTTGACTCAAACCTTAGGTTCTGAGATATTATTTGTGAACTAAGCAATTAATTAAAATAACTCAAAACACCTATAAAGCAAAACTACCTTGAAACGTGAGCTTACATATTCATTTCACTGTACATATTCTAGCACCTTTTGCTCATTTTTGTCAGAAAATGCAGCATGTAATAAGACATGCTTTGCATACTCCTATCACAGTGACACAGTTTTTGACCTTGGTACAAGGACTGACAGGTTTTTTCAAGATCTTTTACCAAAATTTACCATAAATTATGACAGCTTTAAATATGTTAATCTTCACATAGGTATTTAGTCCCTGGTTTAACATGAAAGAAAACAGCTAAATCCATCTACGAGGAGGAAGTCATTAAATCAAGAACAACCTGCTACGCTGAGCTCCAAATGAATCTTGAAGAATCACTGAAAATATCAATAATATTATAAAAATAGAATAAAATATTATGCATTTACTAGAAGGAGCTGAAACTAGGCTATCTTGATACATCTTAGAAAAATGATTTTATAAGCAACAGACAATGTGTTAAATCTGACGTAACTAGCTTTCATCACACTAAGGTCTCATGGATTATTTAACACTTTCAGTGGGAGTTTTGACCCAATGACCTCCAGATGTCCATTGGCACCTAAATTATTTTGCTTATCCAATGGGAAAACCACTAAGACAGAGAATAACCAAAACAGCAGATTAAATGAATTTGAGGCATTAATGCGCGCTGGCAGCCCACAAAGCCAACAGTATCCTGGGCTGCATCAGTGCACCCTCAGCAAGTTTGCAGATGACATCAAGTTGTGTGGTGTTGTGGACACGCTGGAGGGAAGGGATGCCATCCAGAGGGACCTTGGCAGGCTGGAGAAGTGAACCGTTGCAAACCTCATGAAGTTCAACAAGGCCAAGTGCAAGGTCCTGCACGTGGGTTGGGGCAATCCCAAGCACAAGTACAGGCTGGGCGGAGAATGGATGGAGAGCAGCCCTGAGGAAAAGGACTTTGGGGTGTTGGTGGGTGAGAAGCTCAACATGAGCCGGCAATGTGCGCTGGCAGCCCAGAAAGCCAACCGTGTCCTGGGCTGCATCCAAAGCAGCGTGGGCAGCAGGGCGAGGGAGGGGATTCTGCCCCTCTGCTCTGCTCTCATGAGACCCCACCTGGAATACTGTGTTCAGCTCTGGAGTCCCCAGCACAAGAAGGACATGGAGCTACTGGAGCGGGTCCAGAGGAGGGCCATGAAGATGATCTAAGGGCTGGAACATCTCTGCTATGGAGACAGGCTGACAGAGTTTGGGCTGTTCAGCCTGGAGAAGAGAAGGCTCCGGGGAGACCTTCCAGTACCTAAAGGGGCTACAGGAAAGCTGGAGAGGGACTTTTACCAGGGCATGTAGTGATATAACAAGGGGCAATGGCTTTAAACTGAAAGAGGGCAGATTTAGATTAGATACAAGGAAGAAATTTTTAATTCAGAGAGTGGTGAGGCACTGGAACAGGTTGCCCAGAGAAGTTGCGTGTGCCCTGTCCCTGGAAGTGTTCAAGGCCAGGTTGGACAGGGTTTTGAGCAACCTGATCCAGTGAAAAATGTCCCTGCCCACAGAAGGGGGAGTGGACTAGGTGATCTTGAAAGGTCCCTTCCAATCAAACCATTCTATGATTCCCCTCCAATGTAACTATCAAAGAGCAATCAAAGCAGATGGACTGCATTTTCAGCTTTTCTTACCTGCAGGCATACAGCATGTTGGACATAAACGTGATGGGGTTAGTACTGCGAGAGGTGTCCATCACATAAACAACAACTGAAGGAAAAGAGGAAGCCTGGAAACATAGAGTAAAAGATATTTTAATTAGAGGTACCTGCTTTTCAACAGCCTCTTCTTTCACACAGCCCCACTGTTAAGTCACTGGGAAAACACTTACCAAGGCCTCAGTTATGATGGTTCCTGATGCTGACCAGGTGAATACCTCAATTTGCCCTGGTGTGTCAATAATAACATACCTGGTAAGAAGTCACCCCCGACAAACAATAAGGGAAAATTAGTTCAGCACAAGGTCCTATTCTTACTAGATTACCGCAAGCACATACTGCAAGTCACATGATTATTCTATTACAGATAGAATCACAGAATGGTTTGGGTTGGAAGGGACCTCAAAGATCATCCAGTTCCAACCCCCCTGCCATGGGCAGGGACACCCTCCACTACACCAGGTTGCCCAAAGCCTCATCCAACCTGGCCTTGAACACTTCCAGGGATGGGGCATCCACAACTTCTCTGGGCAACCTGTTCCACTGCCTCACCACCCTCTGAGTGAAAAATTTCTTCCTTATATCCAATCTAAATCTCTCCTCTTTCAGTTTAAAGCCATTGCCCCTTGTCCTGTCACTACATGCCCTTGTAAAAAGTCCCTCTCCAGCTTTCCTGTAGCCCCCTTTAAGTACTGGAAGGCTGCAATAAGATCAACCCGGAGCCTTCTCTTCTCCAAGCTGAAGAGCCCCAATTCTCTCAGCCTGAGATCAGAAAAGCTTCTCCCAGTGTCAAGATTTATGGGCATGCCTGAAAATTTCCTGTGTGAATTCTGCAACTAAGAAGCTCATACTCTCTTCAGATTCTATAAAAGTTGAAGGCATCAACCTGACAGACACTTAGTACTGCAAACTCTTCAGAAGAAGAATTAACTGATGCCTGTTTGAACAGTGTGTGAGAAAAAATGACAGTCTAGTGGAAGACAAGAAAAGCAGAAGTGGAATCAGCAGACAATTCTTCAACATATCTGAAGTCTAGTTTATCTGTTCTAATTCTACACCCTTTTCCACATAAAATTTATATCTAGTGTGAAAAACAACTAGAAAACACGCAGAGAACCTTTTTAGGATTTCCCATGGTTTTCCCACACTGATATCAGAGAAGTAGAAGTTGGTAGAATGTACTCACTTGGATGCGTTTTGTCTTTTTTCAATGAACTTCATCACCTGATTGAAAAAGGAGCATACTTGGTATTTAGGCTCACACCAGGAAACACTCATAATCATTTCAGAACAGAAACTACATTAACTTGCACAGCTGCATATATGTAACAAAAGAAGATTAAAGTCTTGAGCTTTTCCATGTGTGAAAATGCTCAGACGCTGCATGGGTCAAAAGCAACCTTGATTTTGTCTGTGTTCTAGTACCTGGCTAAAGAAATGGTACAACAAATACAGTCATTCCCCACCTTTTTACTAAGAGATTGCGCACTGTCTCAGTATCTCGTGTGAGTTCCCACCCAGCGCTGACCCAGCGTTATGGCTGAAGAGAGCAGTCAATTATCGAATAATCCTACGCAAACTTAACGCGTCTCCAGAAGTCGGCTTCCCTACTTCCCTACTGAAATCTCTCAAATGAAAGCTGTTGCGCTCTGTATAATACATGGCTCTGTATGGAGAATACTCTAAGACTTTAATTCTAAAGAAATAATTTTAATTCTGAAGACATATCAGCAGGGTAACCAAACACAGTGCTCTCTGAGATTCCAAACACGCAAAAAATCCCACGGTCTCCCAGCGCGGTATTCGTACCACAGTGTTGCACAGGAACAACCTCGTACCTGATCAAATCTTGTAGCAAAGAGATTGAGAGAGGTCACTATTCCACCATTTGGGCCCAGCCCATATCTGGACGCTTCATTTAGGAAAGCAGATGATTATGCAGACCTCAGAGGGCTTCTTTTTAAATTCTGGTAATAGTTGGCCATGTACAATGCAGACTGGATACCTTGCAGCAACAGGCAATACCTCTAATAAACAACTAAGTCTTCTAAGTGATGCAGCAGCATAACAAACATAAAGTGGTCTGTCTCTTGCCCAGACACACGTGATTGCCAAAAGGAAAAGGAGCTACGTCATGGCTTTCCCTTGCCATTATTCAAGCATTATCATTCTGGACAAAGAGAAAATGCATACATCAAAGCCATCTTTGTCTTTCCAAAAAGATTTACAACACAGTCAGTAATGCAGAATTCAATAATGCCCTGAATGCACTAAATTTAAAGAATTTATACTTCAAAAGATAATTAAAAGATTTCTTTCACAAATATACTTTTAGCAGAAATGACAATAGGAATGAACGTTATAAAGATACTCGAAGCGTCAACTTAAAGATGCAGATTTCAAAGTCTTTTTCCATGCATACAGATCTGTATACTAATTGTGCTCAAAGAAACAAAGAATTTTATTTTTTTTTAACTGCAGAAGAACCAGCACTGATTCATCAGTACATACTGTCTTCTAGGGCCACTACTGTTAATCTCCAAAGATGAGGCCAGGGACCCTCAAGCACTATTTAATGAGATGCTTCAACTCCAGTAGTGGCTCACAGACACAGTAAACCAAACATTGCACCTACATACCAAACTGAAGCTTATACTTCAATGTTTTGGTGGTAACTCCAAATCAAACAAGAGCCAAAATCAAGAATGCTATCCCCCCCACCATCTTTATCCTTTTCTAAAACAATATATTTAAGAGTCACACTAGCAAGCCAAATCCAAACACTGTATATTATCCCACCTGCGCAAGCTATTACTTCATGCAACATTCCGCATTGCTGCAATTCCAGACACCTTCTGACCTCTTCATCATACTGTGCAGAAGTGACAAACAATTTTCATAAAACCTGAGATTTTTAATATCATGATTTAGTAAAAAAAAAGGATACTGTTTCATGACTTCTTTGTACTTCACAGTGTCCCTGATATCTAGAGGAGGAAGATGTACAAATAGCTTTAGGACATCACTTTTTAAATAGCCATCTTTATCAATTTGCTGATAGGTACCCTTCTTTTTCTAGCAAGTCTCCTTTTGTCTCAATAATAGATCTAGCACCGACAGGAAAAACCCCCAAACAGAATACATAAAACCTAACAGATTAGCTGTGCTCTCAACATACGTATGAAACCAAACATAATTCATGTGAAACACCACCGTCTGAGGTATAGAGCAGTAACTGCTTGAGCTGAATTTTGTTCTCAGCTGCTCAAAATCAGTTAACAAAGTGCAGATATCTGTGTTATTGGAGATCCAGCACCAGAACAGATACTCTGACAACTCATCTGATATCAATAAAACAGTTTTGGGATCCACACTGCCTTTCTTACCCTCTGCAGAGGCTGGCTAACAAACTCTGGAAAGTTTGACAGACAGGACCCTCACAAACCTAACGACTGGTAAGCCCTTTAGAATGGCTAAACAGAATTGTTTATTGTTAAGGTATTTTCCATTAAATTCATGTCTTCCAAAGCGTTTTGAAGAAGTTATTTGGTAGCACACATGGCTACCACTGCTTTGGATACAGGGCAGCAGATCGAATCTGCTCGTAGTACGCTCATCGCTGACGCAGAAAAAAAATCCACAAGAACCCAAACACATCAA